GGGGGAGGGGAGGAGGAGGGGAGGAGGGGGAGGAAGGGGAGGAGGAGAGGAGAGGGAGGAGGGGAGGATGGGAAGGAGGAGGAGGAAAGGGAGACGGAGGGGGGAGGGGGAGGAGGAAGGGGAGAAGGAGGGAGAGAAGGAAGGGGAGGAGAGGGAGGAAGGGGAGGAGGAGGAGGAGGTCCCGGTCCTCTCCCAGCACCCCCTCCACAGCTCACTCAGGCCAGAGAAGCCACCTTCTCATCCTGGTCTGTGCTCTCCTCCCAAAGGGCCTTGGGTGAGTCCCTCCCACCTCAGGCCCTAAGCACCCTCCCCTTCCAGGGGGGACACTGAACTAACTTCTAAGCTGGTCCTCCGGGCCGAGAGCCCCGTGGCCCACACCTGGAGCGGGGGCTGGGGAGGGGCGTGGGGGAAGCCGGAGCCCCTCCCTCCGTGCAGCACCGGAGTCCTGGACTTCAGGTCTTCGGGGCTGTGCTCGGCGGTGACAGCCTTGCTTCCCACCTTGAAGAGAAAGACCCAGAAGGGGCTCTATAAACAGTGGCCAAGCCCCTCCCCCTCGAAGCCCCTTGGCTGGAGGTCAGCGACCCCGGTAGATCCCAACCCTCGTGTCTTCCAAATTAGGATCCATGGGGCCTGAGAAGGCTCTGACCTCACCGACCACACTGTCCAGGTGGAATGTGGCCCAGGCCTCGGCCCTGGCGTCTTCCCAGCAGCCCAGGAGGCTGAAAGGGCACAGGCTCTGATTTTAGGGAGGACCCAGGGGCCAGAGGGTAACTAGTGCCCATCCCAAAGGCCAGTAAGGCAGAGCTCGAGAGCTTCAGCCCAGAAACCCTGGCCCCTGGTCACAGATTTTGTCCGCGGCTTGCTCTTTCTGAATAATCACTTTTCTCATGTGTGAAACAGATATGGGTTAGAATCAAGCAGCATTTAGGGGGCCCTGTCCCAGGGTGGGCCCTCTGCTGAGCACCACCTGTCTACTATCAGACAGTCGTAAGAATTACTGAAGATCGTGGGCGCCTGGGTGGCTCAGTCAGGTGAGCATCTGACTTCGGCTCAGGTCATGATCTCCCGGTTCACCGGTTTGAGCCCCACGTTGGGCTCTGTGCTGACAGCTCAGAGCCTGGGGCCTGCTTCGGATTCTGTGTCGCCCTCTCTCTGCCCCCTCCCCCAACTCTGTCTCTCTCTCAAAAAAAAAAAAAAAAAAGAATTACTGAAGATCGTGCATGATAACCAGTCACGTAGAGCCATCGTTCTACTATTAACTACAGCATTATAGAAGGACCGGTGAGCGCCCAGCAGACGCCAAGCGCTGGGACTGGCCTGGGGACCCCAGCTCTGGTCCTTCGTAGCTCGGTCCTTACCTATCTGTGCCCTCAGTTTTCCCATCTGTAAAGTAACCTCTGCCCCCTTTTAGAGAAGCCGGGGTGGTAAGCAAGGGTGTGTGGGTGAGGTAAGCAGGGGTGTGTGGTGGGGGGGGGTGAGGCTTATTGAGGAGACAGCAGTCCCCAGCCCTGCCCCCACCGCCACCTCACATTACAGCTGTCCGTGTCCTTCTGGTAGGTGACCTGGTGGTCCAACTGCCACCGCCCTTCCTGCTTGCGGTGACACCTCTTTCGCCGCTGACACAGCCGAATGGAGAGGCTCTGCGGTGGGAGGAGGGGGAAGTTCTGGGCGGTCTGGCTGTTCAGGGCACCAGGAAACGCCCAGAAGAGCAAGCCCGGGCTGACTGGGGTTTGAATGCTCACGTCCTCCCATGACCAGACCCAAGAGTCTGGGCCCTTCTTGGCTCAGGGGCTTCTAGGAGGGCACCGCGGAGCAAGGCGGGGAGGAGGGGGAGCCTTCCGAGGCCCAGCCTGCTCTGCACGCAGCATGCCGGCCACACCCCGCCCGCCCCGCCGCAAGGCCCCATGGGATGCGGGTTCGGACTTGGACCTACACAGGTGTCCTCACTTCTCTGGGTCTCAGTTTCGTCCTCCGGAAAGTGGGAAGAAAGCACAACTCGGTCTAAGAGGCAAAATTGAAGGTGGCATCGCAAAACTCAGCTTATGCTTAATTAATTAAAATAGATTAATTAAAGTAAATAACATTTTAATTCGGTTGTTTTTTAAAAATAAAGTTAAGCGGGGGCGGGGGGGCACCTGAGTGGCTCAGTCGGTTAAGCGTCCGACTTCGGCTCAGGTCACGATCTCACCGTTTGTGGGTTCAAGCCCCACGTCGGGCTCTGTGCTAACAGCTAGCTCAGAGCCTGGAGCCTGCTTCAGATTCTGTGTCTCCCTCTCTCTCTGACCCTCCCCTGCTCACGCTGTCTCTCTCTCTCTCATAAATAAGTAAAAACACTTAAAAAATTAAAAAATAATAATAAAAAAATAAAAATTAAGGGGCGCCTGGGTGGCCCAGTCGGTTAAGCATCTGACTTTGGATCAGGTCATGATCTCATAGTCTGGGAGTGTGAGCCCTGCTCATGCTTTGTCTCTCTCTCCTTCAAAAAAATAAGGAAGCATAGGGGTGCCTGGGCAGCTCAGTTGGTTAAGTATCGACTTGGGCTCAGGTCATGATCTTGTGGTCTGTGAGTTCCAGCTCTGCATGGAGCTCTGTGCTGACAGCTCAGAGCCTGGAGCCTGCTTTGGATTCTGTGTCTCCCTCTCTCTCTCTGCCCCACCCCTGCTTGCACTCTGTCTCTCTTGCTCTCAAAAATAAAACATTAAAAAATAAAAAAATAAAAACAAAATTAAAAATCAGTTTATAAAAAAAAATCCAGGTTCAAGGCTCAGTCAGTTAAGCATCCAACTTGGCTCAGGTCATGATCTCACAGTGTATGAGTTTGAGCCTTTCACTGAACAGTCTGGAGCCTGTTTCAGATTCTGTATTTCCCTCTCTCTCTGCCCCTCCCTTGCTCTCTCTCTCTCTCTCTCTCAATAATAAACGAACATTAAAAACATTTTTTTAATTTATTTTATTAAAAATTTTTTAAATTTTCATTTATTTTTGAGAGAGAGAGACAGAGACAGAGTGTGAGCAGAGGAGGGGCAGAGAGAGAGGGAGACACAGAATCGGAAGCAGGCTCCAGGCTCTGAGCTGTTGGCACAGAGCACGCCGCGGGGCTGGAACTCACGAACCGCAAGATCATGACCTGAACCTAGATCAGACACTCAACCAACTGACCCACCCAGGCACCCCTAAAATTTTTTTTAATCCATGATGAACAAAATATTAAAATTCTAAATAAAGATGGGATCCAACCTGGCACTTGAACGCTCATCCTCACTCACCTCCCCTTGTCTCAGCGCTAGGGATGAAAGCACTTACCTTCGGGGGTGCCGGGGTGAGACTTGAAACGAGGTACAGCAGGTACTGCCGGCTGCCTATAAAGGGTCCGCTTCTCCAGCGGCCAAGGTGCAAAATGGTGTAGGTTTTCAGTGCTGCCACTAGGGGGCGGAGACTCGCCGTAAACAGCAGGCAAATGGTCTTGCGCAAGAATCACCCCAAGCTCAGCCCTCCTCTCCTCTCCTCTCCTCTCCTGGTCTCCTTCCTTCCCCTCTGAGTCCCCAGGCCCCGGCTTCAGCCGCAAATTCATCTCGCCATGACTTTGCCTGGGGCAGTTTCTTCCGGAATGGCCAGCCCTCCCAGCAGCAGTTCGATGTATTATAAGATGCACCAGAAAGGAGACACAGGTGACTTCTTGGGGCACTAACTTTGGCCACGGTTTGTGTCTGGCACCTCAGGTCAACCTACTAGCCAGTTTGCGTCAGCATTTGACAGGTAAAGAAACTGAGGCTCAGAGAGGGAGCACACTAGCTCAGGGTCACGCAGCTAGTAGAAGCTGAACTGGAATCTGAACCCAGTCTGTTTGAATCTAGAATTCATGGCTTTTCTACCACCAAGAACACCTTTAGGCATAAGTGAAGCTTCAGGGGTGGCCCAGGGGGCAGGGCAGGGAGGGAAAGGGAGACAGAACAAGGCTCTGGAGAGGCAGCCTCACCCAGACCCTCCCAGCAGCTCGCTGCTGCTTCAAGACTTCCTTGGAGGTGTAGAGGGGACCCCTGTGTCCCCAGCTCCAAAGGCTAAAAGGCCAAGGGCCGGGCTGCAGAGAGCTCTTATGGGGGTAAGAGCCCTATGACGGTCCTGTAGAGAGACTCCAGACTCTGGTGGGCGACCTGGTTCACCTTGGCGAAGGCCTCCAGATGCTTCTGGGTGTCCTGGTTGATGGCGAGGAGTGTCCCATAGTGCTCCACCATGGTCTCCATGAGGGCCTCCTCTGGCTCTGATGCTAATGAGGCAGGTGGGACTTCTGCTGTGGCCCTGACATTCCAGCTGGAGCCCCAGAGCTGACAGGTGCCTGACAATCCACGCAGGGCTCACCCCCAGATGGCGGGACTGGTCCAGCCCCTGTCAGGCCTCGTCACCCACCTCCTGCCCCTTCAAGAGAAGCATCAACATTAGAAGGGCCCCCTAGCGGCCATGGACCCAGATTCTGGATTCTGGCTGCCCAGAGAGACAGGAGAGTGTCCCCAAGGAAAAAGTGCTGACTGGGGGAGCCCACAAGAAGGGGATAGGAAGTGTTGGTGTCCTGAATGACAGGGTCCCCAGCCTTGGTGGGAACTCATCCCGGGTGGGGGTGAGCGGGGTTGAATTGCTGAATTAGGAAGACTCCAAACTAGAGGCCGCTTTAGAAACAGCTCTGGGTGCCGGGTCTGGTCAAGCCCCGTGCTGACCCGGAGCCCTCGCCCGTCCTTGGCTTGGTGCTCAAAGCTCTTCGGTGCTACTCAACTTTCCAGTCCTGTCTCCCAGCAACTCCCAGCAGCCAGGCCCTGGTGCTCCGGCATACCAGAACTCACCATCCCCAAACCCAGCAGGTGGGGCTGTGGCTCCAGCCTATGTTTGTGCTGTTCCCTCTGCCTGCCATGCTGTTCCCCTTCATTGACCTCATTTGAGCCCAAGGAGAGGCCACCTCCTCCAAGAAGCCTTCCCTGACCTCCAGGGCAGAGTTTTTGGTGGGGGGCAGGGGATGGTCTCACAGCTCCACAGTTCTTAGTTCAGTGACTCTGAAGTCAGACCAGAATCTGAGACGGAGCCCCAATATTTCTTGGCTGGGCATTTGGGGCAAGTTCCTTAATGTCTCTGAGCCTGGGTAACAGTTCTCAGAAGCTCATGCAGGGAGGTCAAAAAGAGTTATTAAACAGCTTAGCACAGAGTAAATAGTTAATAGATGGTAATAATTATTTTTGTTATCGTAATGTTGAGATAATGACGATGATAAAAATACCTGTTTGTCCCCCTTCCCTTTCCTAACAAGCTCTGGCACTGACGGCAGTGGGCTCTGCTTCGAATCAGGATAAAATAGAACGCAAAGCTCATATCTGGTTTCTGTGTCATTTTAGTTGGTAATAGCAAAACAACAAACAAAGGCGAAGACACATGGAATAGTAGCGATAATAGCTAACATTTACTGAGTGTTAGCTGAATGCCGGGGCTTCTGAAGGCCATGCTCCAGGCTCACAAAGGGTGAGTTCATCCGTTCTGCATAACCCAGGCCCTCGAGAACCTGCCGCAGGCTTGCTCAGCCCCTGTGCCCTTTGGAACCCCTGTGGCATTGACCTTTGTGAGTCCTCCTGCTGGAGGTGAGTTCAAGGCTCACACCCACCGTGTCCTGGCCCCAAGGCTGAGAGGCAGCCACAGAGAGGAAGCCCCATACATACCCCTTAGGGATCATCTCAAGGACCTTAGTCAATCTTCAAAAAGCCTGTGTTTCTCCACCGCTTGCTTCAGCTTCCTCCGCCTGCAGGGACAGGTCAGTGATAGTAAGAGCCTGACACAAGAACACTGTTTGGAGGCTCCCAGGGGGTGACCAAGAGGTCCAGGCTCTCCCTGGATCTCCTGCTCAGACCTGCACTGGCGAGTCCCCCCCACCCCCATACCCCCATCAGCGGGCCGCTGACTTAAACCTCTGCACCCTGTTTCCTGATGAGCTGAGCCACACCAGTTCAAATTGCTGCTGCGGTCAGGCATGGGGGAGAGTGAAGTCGTCTGTCTGGTGGGGGGTGGGGGGGTCTACAGAGCCTCTCCTCTCCTAGACGTAGCCTGAGTCCCCCCCCCCCCACTAGTTGGCGACCTGGCCAGGAGCTTCACCTCTGTCCTGGGGCAGCCCGTCTGTAAAGACGGTAGTGAGAGCCCCTCCCTGGGACCGGAGAATCAGAGCCAGCCTGAGGGTCGGGGAGGGGAGGAGGGCTGGACGAAGCTCTCCAGGGTTGACCACGTCTGAGGTGGTTCTTGAGGATAAAAATGAGCCAGGAGACATAAGGTGGGAAGAGTATGCCTGGCAGAAGGAACAGCCAGGACGAAGGTTCAGAGGCAGGAAGTAGCATCCTCGGCCTGCGAGAACTATAGGCAGATCCTTAAAAGCAGAAGGTGAAGGTCAGCATAGGAGCGGTGTGGCTGTGGTGGGAGGAGCCAGAGTGTAGATGCCAGGCTCTCTGTTGCCTGTGACAGAAACTAAGAGTCTGCTCTGGGCAAAGAGGGCGTCAGTGGAAGGTGTGAGGGGGGCTGCAGCTTCAGCAGAAGAGTTAATACCCAGGCTCGGAGAGTCCAGGGGCCAAGGGCAGCCCTGGAGATCCAGGTGCAGGGGATCAGGGGGGATCCCCCCTAACGGACTCTCCCCTACCCCTTGCCATCAGCCCCCCTCCATCCCCAAGAATCAAGGTCCTTAGAGAGGGTGCCCAATTGACTGAGGCTGGTCATGTGCCCACCCCTTGGCTTGACTGACAGTCACATCGTAGGAGCTGCCCTGGGGGCTGGAAGTTTCCCAGGGCAAATCCTAGGTCTTTGGCCAGAGCCCTGGAAATGAATGCTTAGCAGGCGCTCAGTACCCAGAGGCTCAGGGCAGCCCAGGGAGTTTGGGCTCTATCCAGAAGACAACAGGCGGTTGGCGGGTCCCTGCAGAAGGAGTGGCATGGTCAGATGGGCGTTTGGGGTGTGCACTCGGGGCTCAGAGCAGCCGTGGGGCAGGGAGGCTGGCAGTTCCAGCGTCTCACATTTGTCAGGATGCTTCTAAGTGCTTTCCAGGCAGGCCTTAACGTCACGTGATGTGCCATGAGGTCAGAGCTGTTCTTTCACCATGGGGAAACTGAGGCACAGAGAGAAACTTGTGCAACACCTCACTGTTGGGAGTTGAGCTATTAATCTAGGAAGCTGGGGCTCCAGAAAGTCTGGGAGGTTGAATTGCTGGGACTTGGAAACTGACCCAGGGGGGGCCCCACAAGCTGGGACACAGGGTGGGGGAGACCCTGTTAGCACCTATGGGCATTGAAGCCTCCCCAGACCTCACCTTTCTCCAGGCTCAGAAACCCATGGATCCTATCTCCCTGTCCCTTGGGGTCCTGACCCACTTGACCCAATATGGCCACAGGCAGGGGGTTGTGGGGGCAGGGGGACAATTTGCTTCCCAGTGAGGATTATATTTTGGCCTCAAGGGTCCTGTACCCACACAAGTCTGGGAGACACACTGGGGCTGCTCTGGAAATATTTCTCCCTGTTGGGCCCTAAAGAGCGATTCTGCCATAATTATCAGGCATTGGCAACTGTTACAGATTTACCTCTGCCCGGAGCCTTGCCTGGAGTCTCACTTCTATGTCTCAAAAAGATCCTCAAATGTAGTGGACCTGTGATTCCATTTTGCAGAGGAGAAAACTGAGGCAAAGGAACTTGCCAAGGCACGTGGCTGATAGCCGTAGCAGGGTAGACGACTTAGTTTGTGGAGCCCAGTGCGACCTGAAAATGCTGGGCTCCTTACGTAAAAAATTAAGAATTTTGGACTCGGGTCATGATCTCGAGGTGTGTGAGCTCGAGCCCCATATGGGGCTCTGTGCTGTCAGCGCGGGGCCTGCTTCGGATCCTGTCTCCCTCTCTCTGCTGCTCCCCGGCTCACGTGCACTCTCTCTCACTTAATCAAAAATAAACATTAAAACAACTTTTTTAAATAAATAAATAAGAACTTCAAGGCAGCACTGGTAGAACACAAACCAAATATGGGCTCTTCTGAGCGCAGGCTCTGTGCATAGGTCCCCACTCAGGGATCTGGACTCACGACTAGAGATTCCAGAACCTGTTATTTAACTCTACCCCACTCCCTTCCACACTCCACCTACTCTCCCCCCTCTCCCCTCCGGCCCCCCCCCCAGCCTCTTCTGGGTTCTGGCTCTTCCTCTCCTCTTCCCCACCCCTACCCACACCCAGCAGGCTGCAGCCCCCAGCCTTCAGGGAGTAGGGGAAGAAGTGAGGAACTTTTGAGGAGGAAAGGAGCCCAAGTCCAAGAAAAGCTAGAGCTGCCAAGGGGGCACAGCTGGCGGCGAGGGGCCAGGTCCCAGGCCCCCTAGACCCCCTCCATCTCCTGGGCTGTGCGGGAGGAAAATCCAAGAGCAGGCTGTCTGTTCCAGACAGCTGCGAACCTTGGGGCCTGGGGGGTGCGTTTCAAGGGCAGAGACACAATTAAATGGCAATAGAATCTCACCCCCATTTAAGTCTTCATGAGGACTCCTGGGGCTTGAATTTGACCCCAGGGCTTGAATCTCCCAGAACAGCAAAAGGGACAGTTAGATCAGGGCTCCTGCGCAGATTTTCAACCCTGCCTGCCCTGTAGCCCCAAATGTCCCCAAGCCCGAGGGCCAGCCCTTCCCCAGCCACGGGTGGTGCTCAGGATCCAGAGTGAGGCTGTGGAGACACGCAGGGCTACCACCCGTGTGACCTCAGGGAAAGTCACAACCTCTCTGAGCCTCAGGTCTGAAGTGTAAGCTGGAGATAATAACAGAGATGAGGGGGCTTGGGGCAGCTGAGGACAAAGGGCAAGCTAGCACCCCACCCCCACCCCCAGGTGGGACGTGTGGGATATTCCTTCTCAAGGACAAAGGAAAGGCAAGGAAACAAAATGGGCAACGGAGAGAGAGCGCAGTCGTACAGGACGTGGGTCTCCATCAGTTTGCACATACCTTAGTCAATTACAAGAAAAAGACAATCTTATCAAATAGCCTTACCCCAGAAACCTGGTGACTCACCACATCACCCCTCCATCGTGATGTGGGGAACAAAGGCACGAAGGAAATGGCAGGTAAACCTGGCTTGACAAATAGCAAGGCCTCCAGTCTCTTGGGAGTCCCTGTTAGCATATCCAAGGCCCTCTGAGACCGCTCACCTGACTTTACCTCCCCACCTCCATAGTGTTTAAGGAGCCACTCTTCACAATCCCAGCGCAGCTCTTTCTGCCCACGGGTCCTGTCCCCGTGCTTTAATAAAATCACCTTTTTACACCAAAGACGTTGGCAAAGACCCCCACCATCACCCGAAAACCTAGAACTAAATGACATAATCCACACTGACATCATCTCATATATGTCAAAAAAATCCTGTGTGTGTGTGCACGTGTGTGTGTGTGCACGTGTGTGCGTGCACGCACGCGTAGGAGAGTCTCGGAGGATTTGAATGAAAGTTTTAGGCCTTACTTTAGGGGCAGAGAGCAGGAGAAACTTTTCTACAACCATAACTCTGAGAACAGCATGCAGTGCAGTGCCTGGCACATAGTAGGTGTTGTCAGACTTGGTTTTTGTTTTTAAAATTATTTATTTTGAGAGAGAGAGAGAGAGAAAGAAAGTGTGAGCAGGGGAGGGGCAGAGAGAGAGAGAGAATCCCAAGCAAGCGTCACACCGTCAGAGCAGAGCCCAATATGGGCTTGAACCCGTGAACCGTGAGATCATGACCTGAGCTGAAGTCTGACGCTTAACTGACTGAGGCACCCAGGTGCCCCGATCAGCCTTAGTTTTGATTCCTGTCGCTCCCTTTTCACTCCCTCCAGGTGACAATGGTCATGATCCCCTAGTACAGGACCCTTTCCTAAGAGCCTTGGTGCTGGGGCTGGCTGGCAAAGGTGGCTTCAGGGAAGGGGTGGAGTGTTGCGAAGCCTGGGAGCGGGTGTAGGGGGTGGGCGAGTGCAAGGAGGACAAGCATGGCAGCTAGGGACGTCATTAACTGTATTCTCTCCGTCCCCAGCAAGACTCCATAGAAACACTGCGATGTAAGGGACAGAATGGGTTTAGGGGCCCACAGACTTGGGCTCAAATCACGCCTCCATGTCCCAGGTGTGACTGGCCACGTCCTCTCCCTTGCTCTGAGCTTCAGCAACCATCATCCTGTCAGCAAGGCTTCCTGGTCCCGCCTCCAAAATCGCTGGAATCCATCCACCGGGACACCTTGCTCCAAACCCAACATAATTACCGCCCCCCACCCCCCACCCTGCCATCTCCACCCAGCAGAGGGCTCTCCTTCAAAAGCAAACCTAACCTCCCCCTCTCTCTGCCTAAAACTAGTGCTGATGCAGGTAAACCTTTAACCGCTGGTCGCCCAGGAGGCAGAGCCAGGATTTGTGGCGCTTGCCCGTTTCCACGGCGCATATGCTGTCCCATGGCTGATTCCCAGCCGCTAATGGCTTACCGACCTGCTTGCACAAGTCCTGAAGACTGAACAGGTGGCTCTTCACGAGTTGCTGTGAATTGGCTGTGGGACTCCACTGCTTTCAGATCCTCCCGTAGTTACAAATGAAATCCAAACCCTGGCTGATCAGATTCTAAATGGACCCCTGTGGCCATTCCTTCTACATTGGTCTTGTTCTTCCCCCCTGACCCACCCCAGGGCCTTTGCACCTACAGTTCCCTCTGCTCAGAGCATTGTTCTCCTAGCTCTTCATAATGCTTTCTCCTTTTTGCCTTTCAGGTCTAGCTCAGATGCCACTGTCTCAGAGTGACTTTCCCTGACTATGTCGACCAACCCAGACCCCGCTTACCTTTGGTCTCACCTCACTGTTGTTGAGCTCGATTTTGGTACTCTCATGATGCTGGATTGTCTCCCTGGAGTGTGATCTCCATGAGGGCCAGGGCTGGTACGAAACTGTCCCCGCTAGAGTCTCAGTGTCTAGGAGAATAGTGCTGGACACACAGCAGGTGCTCAGGAGATGTGCGGCGCAAGCGGAGCTTTGGGGAGACACAGCTACACCGCCCCGCTAGCCCTCTGCAGAACCATCAAGGAGTCGCTTAACGTCTTTCATCCTCAGTTTCCTCATCTGCAAATGGGGACAGCAGTGCCTATGCGATGCAGCTACCACAATCTAAAGACGATTAAGTGTAAGGCGCTCAGTACAGTGTCTGTTATTAGCAGAGCCTCAGAAAATGAGAATGGCTTCTCCACTTGCATATATTCAATGACAGGCAGCTCATTCCCTCCCAAGGTGGGCTTGTCCACCTCTGGACCATGCTGACTGCTAACGTCTGCCCTTCCTTATGCAGCGTGTAGGCATATCTCCTCTTGTGTTCTTCCTGTGGTCCCAGCTCAACTGCTGGCTCTCAGAGTCTCTTGCTATTTCCACCACTTTATTAACATTGGAGCCCAGATTGATTGAGCCTGTTTCAGCACAGCAGGAACACCAAAGGCAGATGTGATGTCTGGCCTTGACTTCACTGAACCACTCAGTTTCTTCCTCTGTAAGATGGGGTTAACGATAGTAGCTACCTTGTTAAATACTCAGGGGCACTAAATTAGCTGGTAAACACATAGACTTAGCCCCTGGCACATAGAACGTGCACCCACACCAGCCACTACTATTCCTAGTACTCTGCCTGGGGCCTGGCGTCTCCCAGATCCAGCCCTGCTACTTTCGGGTCCGCAGCCATTTCTAATGAAGGCCAGGCCCCCCTCTTGAATGCTCTCCGCACAAGCTGGGAAAAGGGCCAGCCTTTTTCGCCCTTTGCATGTAGCCGTCAGAGCTGACCTTCCCTGTGAACTTGGCACTTTCCAAAGTCCCCCGCCCAGGGCACTACCTGACCCTGGGCAGTCACTCCATTTGCTGAGCCTGGAGGTCAAAGCCCTAAGCCTCTGGGACATGAGCTGTCTTGTGGGGTGGGGGGGACTGAGTGTCCCAAGCTGGGGTAGCTTCTGCCAGCAACCTGGGTGGCCTGGACCCAGCCCTCTTTTTAGTATTGTTTTTTAAAGGGAGTCTTGGTAGTCATAAAAATGCTGGTGGGCTAACGAATGAGACCAAGCAGGGGCGGCAGCAAAGGAGGAGGAGGAGGGCCAGAACAGGGCATCCTGAGAGCAAGGGGGGAGGGGGCGGGGCTGGAGGGGGGACCAGATCTGCCCTGGCCCCACAGCCCCGTGCGGAGACTGTGATGATGATGGGCAGACCCTCCTGCGACGTTGCAGGTGTAACTGAAGCTCGGATCAGTGGCCCTGACACAAGGGAGACCCCTCGAGGGTCCGATCGAATCACAGGAGCCCTGGAAAGCTTCTCTGGCTGGTAGAGCAAGTGAGATCCCGATCCTGAGAGATTTGCCATGGGAGAGGGATTCAAGGTGAGGGAGGTTCTCACTGGCTGAGGTGGAGGGGTCATGGAGCAAAGACTCGGGGCCCATAAGAGCCCCTGGCTGAGAGGTCACGAGAAAATGAGGACCTCAGGCCTGCGGCTGCAAGGAACTGACTCCACCAGCAACCCGAACAAGTCTGGAAGCAGATTCTTCTCCAGAGGCTCCAGAGAAGAACTTGGGCCTTGATTTCAGCCGTAGGAGACTCAGAGAACCCAGACTTCTGAACTACGGAGTGTCCAGGCTGGGGCAGGAAACACCATAAGAGACAGGCTAAGAATTTGGGGCTAGATTGTGGGGGTATTAGGGAACTCCTAGGCATGAGGAGCAAGGTCAATGTGTGTTTCAATGCCATCATTTGACCTTGCAATTCTAAGTATCCTGAAGCCAGGAGAGTGTTTCCAGATGGAATCCCTAGGGCTTTCCAGGAGGGCTACCCTTGAACCCAGCTGGGCATGCTGGGGGGCACCAGTAGCTTCTGGACACACAGAGGCTGCTGTCTGAGCAGCATTTTCCCTGGAGGGGGCGCTGTGGGGCCAGGCAGCTGCCACCTGGGCTCTGAAAGACATTTCCGGGACTGCGTGTCCTGGTGTATCACCAAATGCAGCCTGCAATTCTCGGACAGTCTGTGCCTCTTGTCCTGGGTCCTGAGGCTGCCAACCCCACTGACCTGGGAACAGGGTGGCTGGGCCTTGGCCAAGGTCAGAGGGCCAGCTGGCCCTCTTTGAGGACGGATAGTGTGACTCAGTGTCTCTGGCCAGAGGATGGGGCTTGAACTCAGAGTGGGTGCCGTTTACCCACGTGCTCATTCAGACTCCTGCTGTCCTTGGTCAATTGCCGCCTCTCCCGCGGGTTTCACAGTTGACAAAATCTTTTTCTGCAGCAAGATTTCACAGAGGTGCAGGCACATGGGACCCCAAACTCAGAAAGGCTTAGTTTCTTGCTCTGCTATTGCTGCCCTTGACACTCTTGATGATCTCTGAACAAGGGGCTTGCGTTTCCATTTTGCACCGGATCCTGAAGCATACACAGGCATCCTGCTCTCTGCCCACGCCAGACAGTCAGCAGAGGGACAATGTGCACGCCCATTTTACAGGTGGACCCGCGGGCGCCTCCAGCATTGGGACCTGGCTGGAATGAACACCCTCCAGGAGCGGGCATAGGGTCTGGTGAGACGCTTCATGAATACTGTTGCAAAGGAACAGAACTTGCCCTCCCAGGATGGATTGGGAGTACTCTCTGCTTTGCAGACCCCCACCCACCTGTTTTCCGGAAGAATGGCCATGGCACGGAGCTGTAAGCGCCTGGGAGCCCCAGAAGGCTGGGCTGCCTGTGCTCTCAGCTGTATCCTCAGGGCCCAGGATGGTCAAGGCCACATGCGCACCCAGTGAGTGTCATTAAGTGAACAGAGAATGGACTGGGCTTAGAAGAAATGACATACTTGCCCAAAGTCTCAAGCCAGGAAGCGGCAGACATGGGCTCCAGATTGGGTCAGTGGACTCCGAGTCAGGTGCTCACCCCATAGCCACACAGCTGCCTCCAGGCTCTCTGACCTGGCTTCTGGGAGCCCTCGGACCAGGGCGCAGGTGATGGACATAAATGAAGGTTGGGAGCTGACCCCTGCCCTGTCCCTTGAAGGGGCCATTTGATAAGAAATTGAGTGTCCTTTGCATACTTGCTGCATGTAGCAGACACTGTGGGTGCCCCTCCCGGGCCCCCCACCCTGACGACCCGGTTCACGCCTTCAGGCTTCCGTCTGCTACCACCTGCCTCTCTCACTCAAGCATCCTTTGCCACATTAGAGGCCATATAAGTGCCAGAGAATTCTCAGCCTCCCAGGAGCAGCCCTCAATCACTGACTGATGTCCCCCTCCTGTGACAGGACGACGCTGAGGCTCTGGTCCCACACTGGCTTCTACAGTTCCCAGCTGGCTTCAGCTTCGGCTGCCCCCAGTGTGACTGGCCCGAAAACACGCCCTCTCTTAGTTGACTTCTCTCTTGTGTTTCACCTCCCTACCCCTCTGCCATGTTTTGTGGGTCCCTTCCTACAAACATGGTGTAAACTCAACTTCTTGCCTGCTCCCCAGGGGACTCAAACGAAGGCTCACAGCCTCGTTTCTTGGGAGCTACCTTCCCCTGGGGCCTCCTGGCAACCCCTCCTGGGTGTTGTCACTCATGTCATTTCCGGGGGCAAGAAAGGGTGGCCGGGGCTGCTGGCTGCCACAGAGCCTGTTTCTCCTTCTTCCTGGGAGCGGAGCCAGAAAGCATTTCCCAGCCTGTGTGAAGCCACAAGTGGCCAGAGGCCCAACCGCTAGCCAATATAACGTGAGGAGTATCCACCACCGCCAGGCCCAACTGATAGAATGTTCTGTGTGTCACCTCTCATGCTCTCTCTGCTTGCACCTCAGCGCACAACGACCATGGTGGCCTCCGAAGGCACGAACGATGGCGGAGCCCCCCACGGAGCCCCCTGGATCACCTCTGGGCAGAGGGCCATTTGCGCAAGAAGAATAGCAGCTGTGTGTGGGTTTTCAAGAGCGAGGAACACACTATTGTGTTTGAGCCATTGTATGTTTTGGGATTTGTTACGGCAGCAAATATTTACCAATTCAGAGGACAAGGGGCTGGGCCTCGGGAGGTGGGCAGACCTCAAATCAGTGCTGATTACTTGCTGTCTGAGTGCCAGGAGCAGTCCCCAATCTCCCCGCAGCCCATCCCGTAGGAATCACCGTCCCATGCTATGGATGAGGAAACTGAGGCCCAGAATCACATAGCTGGGTAGTGATTGCAAGGGCGTTCAATCGGCCTCCAAACCCAGTTTACAGTTCACAGAAGGACCCCAGATCTTCCTAATGCCCTCTCTCCCCAAATGTCCTTCTCCTGGTTGCCAGCCCCCTCAAGGCTCTGCTGTGACCTCAAAGTTGCTGCGAATTTGGCCACATTGCTGCCAACGGCCAGGACCTGCTCATGGGAGCAAAGGGCTGCAATGCCTCTGTCTGTCCTCCTGGGGGCACTTTAGGGGCTGAAGCCAGCAAGTGGGGAGATGTCTGGGTCACTGTCATCTTTAGGCTGTATTCTGGTCCCCAGGGGAGACTCCCACTGTCTCAACTTGAGAAAGAAGCAGCCCCTCGTTCCGTCTCTACGTGGCAGGGCATAAGGGTTCCAAGCCCACCTATCCAGGTGGGGGCAAGGTCAAGAGCACTGAGACAGAGGGAGGCACCCGGAGTCTAAGCTGACAGGTGCTGCAGCCTTGGAGGGTGGAGTGCCCGTCAGCGCCGTGCTGTAAAGCAGGGGAGAAGCTGGAGAAATAAATACCCTCCCCCTTTCTTTTTGTCCCGTCCGCCTGAGCTCCCAGTGGCTGCACCCAGTCAGGAGCCAGAGGGCAAGGACGCTTGGGCAACGCTCTGTCAGCCTGCTGGGCACAGAGGAAACTAGAGTTTCTTAATCTCCATCGGGCTCTGTCCCCTGATGATGCTTAAAATTCTTTTTTTAATGGTTTATTTATTTCTGAGAGAGAGAGAGACAGCATGAGCAGGGGAGGGTCAGTGAGAGAGGGAGACACAGACTCTGAAGCAGGCTCCAGGCTCTGAGCTGGCAGTCAGCACAGAGCCCGACGCGGGGCTCGAACCCATGAACCACGAGATCGTGATCTGAGCTGAAGTCGGACGCCTAACCGACTGAGCCACCCAGGCACAACCCCCCTCCCCTACGGATGATACTTAAAAGAGGACACTCCTTGCTAAGACAGACAGGGACGTAGTCACAGATACCGCACACGGGTCCCCCATCCTCCATCAGGAAGCAAGAGGCTCAGAGTGGAGGCCATGCATGTGTGGCCAGATGTCCACGGGGCTGTCTCTCACCCTCATGGCCTGGCTGTGATTGGCTCCAAGCTCATCAGGTTCTCTAGACTCTTCCACGGATTCCTGGGGCCCAAGCTCTGCGCCCGTCCAAGCCTCCCGCTATCTCCACCCAGACCTGCCCCTGTCCCGGCAGACTCGCTGCCTGTAGCAGCCACCGTCCAGGAGCCCAGGCTGTCCACACCGCCAGCTCCCTCTGCACTCCTCCCTGGGCCCAAATTCTTCACTCTGTCGCCCTGAAGAGGTGGGAGTCAAGTCCACTCCACACTTTCATCGAAGTATTTCTCAACAGAGACAGCTGTCTCCCCTCCCCCAGCCCATCTCTCTCTCTGTCTCCCTCTCCCTCTCTCCTTCCTCGGCCCCCCACCCCATCCTGATCCCCTGCGCCTTGTACTAGGCTGTAGAAATGAAAGAAAAGATAGTAATTCTGAACTGCTTAAAAACCTCCCCGTGCTGCTCTTGCGCATGAGGATGAACCGAGAAGCCAGCACCTGCGAGCTAGGCGTGGGGGCCCCTCGCAGACACCCGGTGGGCCGACACCCTGATCTCGGTCTTCCCGGCCTCCAGAACTCCGGAGCCTGTGGCAACCCCACAGCAAACACACGGGTGGCCGCAGGGCAGCTGGTCCTGGGCTGATACGGACGCCAGCACAAAGGGCTGTCCTTTGTAGACGCCCCCCAACCACACTCCCCCTCTCAGCCCCACACAGTCCGAGCCCTTAGCAGGACCCTCACAAAGCTCGCAGTGTGCCCCTCCCACAGCCTGCACTCCGACCACGCCCGTCTCCTGGGCTGGCCAAGCTGGCCCAGCCTTCGGGCCCTTGCCTCGTGCTGCACCCTCCGCCTGGGGCGCCCTCACCCACCTGTGCACCAGACAAGCCTCATCTGCCACGACTCAGGGCATCTCCTTTGTTGGAAGGCCTCCCCCCTCCTCCCTGCTCCTTCCCTCCCCTCCTCATCCTCCCTGAACCCACCCCTCTCTCTCCCCCACTCCTTCCACCCCCATCTGCCCTCCTCCTTCAACCCCCCTCTGCCCCACCCCTCCTCTCAGTCTTCTTCCCTGAACCCACCCCTCCTCACTAACCCCATCCCTTCTTCTACCCCTCCTCCTGCACCCAACCCTCCTTCTACCCCCTTATTTGCTCCACCCCTCCTCCCTGAGCCCACCCCTCCTCCCTGAACTCACCCCTCCTTCCACCTCCCCTCTCTGCCCCTCCTCCTTGTCCCCACCCCTCCCTCTCCCCCTCCCCCCTGCCCCTGGTCCCCCTCCCTCTCTTTGAGGCTGCGCCCCCTGACAGGTAGCGCTGGTACATCTCAACAGCTGACACTGCTTTGGCTCTCGGTAGGGCTCCTGGTGTTTCATTTGTGTCTTGAGGACAGAAATAGTAATAGTTACATTTATTGAGCACTTGCCTCAGGCAGCCACGGCCCCAGACTGTGTTGGCGTGTGACTCGGGTCAGCCTTAAAGCCGCCCCGCGAGGAAGGTGCCAGTAATGACTCCCGACGGACAGGTAGAAGGGCCTGCGTGGAGAAGGGGGGGTGAGCTGCCCTTCTGTACAAGGCTCTCGGGGGCTACGGAGCACCAGCCACTCAGCCCCACACCCTGCGCCGCAGAAACCCGCCTGACGGCCCGAGGGAATGGGCATCCCGAGCCCAAGAGGGTCCAAGGGCAGGCACGTGCAGGCAGGGGGAGCTAGGGTGGGGGCACCGAGGAGGAGGGGGGCGAGGAAGGTGTGCAGGGCTCCTCGCCGAGGCCTCAGAGGCCCCAGCAAGACCACCGGGCAGCATGGCCTCTTTACTTTCTCCCAGGGTCCCCCCCCCTCCCCCGGAGGGGGCAGCCCTCAGGCAGCTGGGCACCGGGCTGCCCGGAGTCAGAAAGCAGGCCACCGGGCCCTGTAGCCTGCGGATGATCTTTGGGCCCCAGTCATCTCTCTCCGGGGACGCGTCACACAACAGACACCTGATCCTGTCGCCTGGGCCAGGCGCCGCTGTTAAATATAGGTCCAGGGTCCCTGAGGGGAGGGCGAGGACTGAGGGGCCAGCTGGCCGCAGAAGGGGCCACAGACGGGCCTTGCAGCAACAGAGAAGCCAGCCCCCGTCCCAGGAGCACAGGCTGCAGGGCCTTCCAGCGCCCGGCGTCCGCCCCCTGGGCAGAGCGCTGGCTGTGGCGCGCGTGGGTGCGTGCCCGGGTCACACGCTCTCTGGGGCCAGGCCAGGAGCTATGACAGTGCAGTTTGGAGCCGTTGCTGGCTGGCGTCTGGGGCACCCGGAAAACTGGGAAGTAAAAGGGAGAAAGAGAAAGAACAGCGAAAGAGAAAGGAATTTTAAAAATCTGAACCCTCTACTAACTGAACTTGGAAATGTATCTTCAAGTCTCTGATCCTTCACCTCCTCAGCTGTGGAAAAAGGATGGTCACATCTTTCCCCCAGAATGGTGCGAGACATCACATGCCCTCCTTCCCCGTGTCCGGCTCACACCAGGGGTCCCTGGGGGCTTCAAGGGGACCAGCCTGCCTGGGCCATGTACTAGACTGTGGATGTGCATGGGTGTGAGGGGGAGAGCGTCTTTGACCACGTTAACTGAGTTCTGGCCAGCAGCCATTATTTTGAAATGACATGAGATGAGAGGTTGAATCCCATGATTCAGAGACTCCTCCAAAATCATTCATATCCCATTTTTTATTTCTGTTTTGAAAGTACATAGGTAGGCTTGATTTGAATTCCAACTGATTTATGAGTAGCGTTCTTGATCTCAGAGAACAAAGATATATGAGTTCACTGACTTATAACTGCTCATTCTGGTTTCACACTCAGTGTTTGGAAGGTTCTGTATTCCTAACAGGGCCTTTTCTCCATTTAGGGCACCAGAGAGGGGAACGATTTGTATAGTCACACAGAACTTTCCAGAAGGGCCAAGACCTAGCACCCTGGTGGCTAGGTCCAGGCTCTTTTCAATGTGTCAGGTGCCTTTCACCCCATTTGTACACACCAAGAAAGACACGGAGAGCCGTGTTTTTAGGAAACAAGAGACTTCAACATTTATTTAGTATTTTTATAAAACCAGCTCATTCGCCAACTTGCGGATTAAATGCACCTCTTGTCTTCACTTGAAGAATGTGAGCTCTGTGTGGGTGGTGTGCCTGCGTGAGGGCGTGTGTCCACATGCACCGGCCGCCAGCAGGATCCTGGCCCTGGAAGGGCTGACGCCCACCTAGGGTCCCCCCTTTCCTGCTAAATGGAGAAACCCCAGTCTTCATGATGATCACCGAGGCCCTTCCTTTTGCTTTGCTCAAACTACGACTGCATTTCCCGCTGCAGTGACCTTCAGGGCTGGTTTATGAGCTTGTTCAATGAGTCGTTCCTATGATAGTCAAGGGCATTTGATATCCAAACACCTGGCCCTCTTGGTGGCAGCTATTCCTGAAATCCAGAGCCACCCTCAAGGAGCCAAGAAGAGACCCCTGCCCTTCCCCTCATCCGCTCAGAGCAGATCCGATTCTCTCCACACCGGCCCTTGTCCCACGCCAAGCCAGGCTTCTCACAGCACTGTGGACATATGGACTGTTAAATCTATACCGGGGAGGCTGTTCCGTGCTCTGTAGGAGGTTTAGAAGTATCCCTGGCCTCTATGCACTGGATGTCAGTAGCAACCCCTCTTTGGTTGTGGCTACCAAAAAAGTCTTCAGGAATTGTCAAACGTCCCCAGGGAGAAAATTGTCCTTAGTTAAGAACCACTGTTTCCAGCCCAGCCCCATGCCCTCCATCTCTATCAGGAAGTCTAAGCTACTAACAACCACGAACACTGTAAGTCTCTATTCTAAGGAAGATAAGTACACTTTCTTATGAGATAGGGGTACTATCATTTTTCTTTCATTTTATATATCAGGAAGCCAAGGCTCAGAGAGGTTGAGTAAGTTGTCCAAGGTCACCCAGCTAGCAAGTGGTGGTGGGGCTGGCAGGGGACTCCAGAATCTGGGCTTTCAGCCACTGGGCTCTGCAGGGAGATTACAAGTGATCCTGTGCTGGAAGTGGCCCCAGCCTGACCTTCTGGAGGGGGAACAATGAGGCACGATGACATTGATATTGACACCCAAACTGCCTATACATGAAGCCTCCGGCTGCTCACTGGGGCTCGCGGTCTATCGTAAGCCACATCCTCCCCGACCTGAGGATTTCTGGGAGTCTGCAGGGGGTAGCAGGCATCTTAAATGTGCTCCTGAGGAAGTCATGCCTGTCCCCTGGGCTCCTCGTCTTCCTCTGGTGTGGCGGGATCCTTGTCACTTTGGCCAACAACTTGGGTGTCAGGATGTGCAGCACGATGTGACAATCAGCCGCGAAGTTCACACTGGAAGCTCGGGAGGGAGCTGCGGAGAAGCAGAGGAGTTTCTGGAAGCTGCGGGCTCTACATTCCCTCAGAAAAAGGATGCTGGGGCAGGTGAACCCCTCGGAACTTCCAGTTCCAACATTCTTTTCCCTTCTGCTCTTTCAGTTCTGTGTGGGACCAAGGCGAGTGGGGGGAGGTGTCACCATCATGAAGTTCACCATGCCAGGTCCACCCCCTGACCCCCTCCCCCACCCCGTCCACCCCACCCTGGCCCTGCCCCATCCTACCCAGAACCCAGGCCCTCCTCATCGGGGCAGGCACGGGGCCGTCCCCAGAGCTGCGGGGCTGGCTGGCACCTCTGTGACGTCACATCACTGGCCACTTTGGGTTCCCCAAGGAGCAAGACCGAGGTGAAAGCCAAAGCCTGGGAGCAGTCCCCGGCCCTTCAGTGGCCAAATTGGTAACAGGCTCGGGGCAGCCACCGTGCTCCCTGTGACCTCCGTCTCCACACTGGCGGGGCCGGGGACTGTGGGCCAGAGGCACCCGCCTTCCCCTTTTCACCAGAGTTCCGGGAGGAATGGGTCGCAGCTTGGCCCTAGCTCTGCATAGAGGGCGAGGGGCCAGCCAGGAGCTGCCATGTCCAGTGTCGGGCACGGCCGATGGCTCGTCCCCGGGAAGGGAGATGGTGGAAGGGTCTGGATGCCGGGCTTGCTGGGAGAGGCCTTTCTCACCTGCCAAATGGGAATAGAAAGCAACCGGCCCTGCTATGGACACATTTTTGTTCATGGAAAACCTGTTCCCAGCAGCTAACCTGGGTTGAGATTTGTTTTTTCTGAGTTCCCCAGGCATAGTAAGTCAGGTGACTTACTGTTCCTCCCCTTACATACATGTGGGGCATTGGAGAGCACAGAGCCGGACCAGGAAGCCCCTTGCTGGTTCCTAGGGGCCCTCATTCTGTGGGCGTCACCCCACATGTAGGATACTGATAGACCATGAAGCCAGCCTTCCCCTTTCTCCCATCTGAAGGCTGAGGGCTATGCCCCAACTCTGTTCTAGAAATGAGAAGATTGTCTGTCTTCTCTCCCTGGAGTTTGTCTTACCTGCCCGCCCCCCACTTACCAAGCTGAGAGGGCTTGGATTATTCTAGAGGAAAATACTGTCAGCCACACACCAGAGGACACGTGCCCATTTTAAAGAAAGGAAGAGAGGTTGGGATTTGTCTCTGCCTTCTCCCAGACCCCCTCCTTCCCCCCCACAGATGTGCCTTCCTCCCCCTCAGGACTTGGCCTTTGGGAGCCCCCCCCCCCCCCCCCCCCCCCCCCCCCCCCCCCCCCCCCCCCCCCCCCCCCCCCCCCCCCCCCCNCGCCCCACCTAACCCCCATGCCCTCGGCCCTCTGTCCACCGGATCAGACTCTTGTCTGTTCTTCAGCTCTTGAAACCAGAATAAACGGATATCAAGGGGCAGCCAGGGCCGAGGGCCAGGACACCAGGGCCACAGGGGTGCTTATGTCAGCGGGTGATGTTCCACCGCTGGGTCAGAGCCATCTCAGGACTCGGCACTGACCCACATCCCAGCTCCCTCCTCCCTGCTCAGCTGGCTCTTCCTCCCCCCTTCCCCCCACTCTCTCCTCCCTGGAAGAGGCATCACTGTCATAGGAAAATGTGCTGCTGTTGGCATCCTCTCTGGGTCCTATAGGTGTGGGACTCTGTGAACTGCCTCCACATCGTATGTGCGTGCACACACACACACACACACACACACACAGTTTTACTTACAGGAATTCAGACTAAAATAAGCAAGAAGGGAAGCCTGGAAGGGAGAAGCCAGGTGTGGGGTGTGCAGGGGTGTGGGGGACAGTGGGGGGGTGGCTGAGGCTGGCGGACTGGGCTACAGCCCTCCCCAGTTCAGACCTAGGAGCTGTGTGGCTTGACTGGTAGCACATACACACAGCAGCTCCTTAATGAGCACTTACCATGTCCCCGGCTCTGTTGTAGGCACTGACACATAGCAGGGAACAGGAAGACTATTCTGGATAGGAGAGATGGGCAATGAACAAATGACATCAATATGTAATTGGTAAGGGAGGGGTAAGTGTTACAGAGAAAAAGCAAGCAGGGTAAGGGACTGGAGAGGGAGGGAGGGAAGGTTCTATCTAGGATCAGAAAATAGAACCTCCCTGATGCCACGCGTGAGCCTTGGGGGCTTTTCCTCGGTGGCCATGTCCTTCCTCTGCTTCCCCGCAGGTCGACCAGTTGTTTGCTTTCTGCCTCAGTGTCTAGCTGTCCCTCTTCACCCACTTCTGTCTCCATGAAAATGCTCCCTGGAGGGCTTTCCACGGAACACTCTCGGGGGTCTTACACAAAGGCAGAGACCCTAGAAGGGTTGCAGAGACCACTGAGGCCAGGGTTTCTCCAATGCCCAATGTAATTTGTCATCCGGGACACGCCAATTAAAACTTCAACAAGATACCACTAAAACCTATCAGAATGGTGAATATGAGAAAAGATGCGGCACCTGGGATTCTTTTATCTTTTTTTTAATGTTTATTTTTGAAAGAGAGACAGAGAGTGAGTGGGGGAGGGGCAGAGAGAGAGAGAGAGAGAGAGAGAAATAGGGAGACACTGAATCTGAACCAGTCTCTGGGCTCCGACCGGTCAGCACAGAGCCTGACGCGGGGCTCGAACTCCTGAACCGTGAGATCAAGACCTGAGCTGAAGTTAGATGCTCAACTGACTGAGCCGCCCAGGCGCCCTGCAACTGGGATTCTTGTCCACTGCTGTCAGGAATGCAAATTGGTACAACTTTGGAAAACTGGTCACTTTACTAAAGTTGAACGTATGCCCACCCTGTGGCCCAGCGACTCCCATCTGAGGGGCACACCCTACAAAAATGGAGACACACTTGCCCCAAAAGACGTGTACTGGAATGTCCGTAGCTATACTGTTCATCATTGTCCCAAAGTGCCCAGAAGTCCCCCACCAGTAGAACAGATAAGCTGTGAAGTAGTCAGCTCGGAACACAGCACGGCCGTGGGTCCACCCATCATGTGGGTGAATCTAACATGATCCTATTGACTGAAAGAAGACACGGGGATGAGGCTGTTCGTATGACATTCTAAACGACGTTTACTGTTAGGGGTCAGGAGAGTGGTCACCCATCCGTGGCAGGAGGAGGTGGGTGGTAGTGTAGAGAACGGGGGCAGAGAGGGCTGCAGAACTGGGGAGGGCTGCTAAGCTCCCTTTTTTTTTTTTTTGATGTTTTATTTATTTCTGAGAGAGAGAGAGAGAAACAGTGTGAGCAGGGGAGGGTCAGAGAGAGAGGGAGACACAGAATCTGAAGCAGGCTCCAGGCTCTGAGCTAGCTGTCAGCACAGAGTCCGACGTGGGGCTCGAACCCACGAACCGCGAGATCATGACCTGAGCCGAAGTCGGATGCTTAACTGACTGAACCACCCAGGTGCCCCTGCTAAGCTCCCTTTGATGCAGCTGCTGAGTGTCTTCTGTTTGTGAAGTTCGATGGGGCTGTGCACGTATGTGCGCTTTTTGTGTGTATATAATACGTTAACAAAAAGTTTTAAAAAGTGCTGTTCAGGCCTTGACTCAGATGAATTCAAGAAGAATCTCTGGGGTAGAGTCAGGCACAGGTAAGGTTCATAGGGCTCTCTTGTGCGGCTCCAGGTGGGAGCTGCTGAGTTAGCCCAGCCCGTTCGTGTGATGTCAAAGGACAGGCCAGGCTGTCTTTGTCTTGGGCTTTGCAGACCTTTTCTGCAGCGTCAAGCCTCCCAGCTAGGATGAGCAAGGACCACGGTAAGAAAAAAAATTTAAGAAAAAGCGGTGTTCACCAATTTACTTCCATAGCCTTGTGGGTGGTGTGCCTTGTTTTGCACTAACATTGGATTCTGTGTTGCGTGGCAGGTGGAGCTGTGGCTAAAACCACTGCCTTTTGTATCAGGAAGTTCTGGTTCAGAGCTAAACCATCACTTGTCCGTTGTGGGCTTGTGAACAGGTCCCCCAACCTCTCTGAGCCTCAGTTTCCTCCTCTGTGACATGGGGGTGATGACAGCGCCTGTTAGGAAGGCTGTGTGAGCACACTGATAAGATGTCACTTATTAGCGGAGGGGCGCCTGGCCAGCCCCTCCCCCCGCTGTCCACCTCCAACGAATTTTCCGTTCCCTGTGACTCTTTGCCTATAATTTAGCTCTTGCTTTTCAAAAGCTGCGTGATGGCATAAAGCGATAGGATTTGGAAAGTGAGTTTCCCCAGCGGTCTTGGCTATATGAGGTTTGTCTGGATGGAGAGGGAGAGGCAAGGCAGGTCACCTGAGAAGGGACCCTGTGCTGGTCCATGGCCCCTCCCCCTCCCAGGCCAAATCTGGGAAGGGGGTCTGGATAGATGGAAAGTAATGGGACCCGTGCCACACCCCTGGGGGGAGCCCACGGAAGCTGCAGGACCCCAGGGATGCACTCCATGAAAAATCCACTAGAACTTCTTAATGCAGAGGAAGATCCCCAAACAGTAGAGAACTGGATGCGCCCTCACTGCCCTTCTCTCACACCCCTGCTGAGAGGCACAGGGGTCTGGGAGGGGCTGAGTGTGCACTAACCCTGAAGAGCCACCAACCTCAGGCCCCACCTGAGGCGGGGACAGTCCCAGCCAGGGGGATGCATGACTTCCCAGGTGCCAGGGCGAGTTTCTGGGGGACTGACTGTGTCCTTTAGCCCTTGGGGCGCCAGAAGCTCACCCAGAACCCAGGGCACCCTGCATTCCCTGAGATTCATTTCCAGGTGGAATTATTCCAAGAGGCTCTAAAGGCATCCTGAAGTTCTCCTGAGTCTGACTTGATTAAGAAATCATGTTACGGGGTCATAAGTCCGAAATCCTCGGAGGTGAAAGGGCCTTCGAAACTGAAACACAGAAGAATATTCAGAACAGACCAAGCGACATTTCCAGCCCCCTCCCCCACTCCAGCCTGTGGGGGTGGAAGCAAGCATCTGGCAACGGGCCAGGAGCATCCTGGATGTACGCGGCCGTGGGTGATGTCTTTGCCACCTGAGACCGACATTTGGTGCCACTGGGTCTGTCCCGGACACAGGGACTCTCTTCCCGGGCCACGGCGGAAGGGTTCCCACCACTGTGTGCCTGCTCGGGCTCGCCCACATGCGTGTTGGCTTGTTCCCTTGCCCTCTGCAGCCCAGCCGCACCCCACGGCATCCCGGCATCCCGCAGCTGGACCCCCGAACTACCCTGTGGCGTGCTCAGCCGTGTCCGCCAAGGCCCCTTACCCCAAACGCAAATGCGCTCTGCCTCCCTGCCTTCCCTCTGTCCGCCCTTCTCCTTGCCCTCTTCCCCGCCTCCCTGTCTCGCCCCCTCCCCCTCTCTCTCTCCTCCCCCTCTGTCCTGAGTCCCTGCTGCCTCCGTTTCATCCCCTGATTATCCCAGTGTTCCTCTCCCTTTGATTCCCTGTTTTCCCCAATGATCTCTTCTCCTTTCTTTTCTTCTCTCACTTATGCACCTCTGCCTTCCTCTCCATCATCTCTTTGCACTTCCCTGCCTTCTCACGTCCCCCAGCGTCCCCGGCTCCTCCTCCTCTTTATCTCCCTGCTCGCTCGCTCCCGTTTCCCCACCCTTTTTCCCCTTCTCTCTGGCTCTCTCCTCTCTCCCTCCTGGGGAGTTCCAGAAACATACCCATATATGGCCTCCATGTCAAGGATCACAAACGACGACGTCACATGAGGGCCAGCGCTCGGAGATGCTCTCCGCCGCGAGGTCCGTAATTGATGCACCACCGTGGAGGGACCGAGGGCGGCATGGCCGCCTCCCCGGTGCGATCTTCAAACAGGAAACCCGAGCTGCACAACATCTTATAGTTTGGCTTGCCATCCCTGGTCATGCGGTGGGCCCGAAATAAACTCCCTGCTTCAAAGGAAAGTGTTTCAGAACTGCCTGGGCAGAGCTCAGGGCCAGGGCAAGAGGAAAACTCAGGGAGGGTGTTCTGAATTAAGACCCTCGAGAAAACCCTCTCTAGTGCCCCCGATTTGGGCCCCTGTTTCAGAGCCTAACAGGTAATGCATGCTTTCAACGTTCTTACACAGACCTCGAGGAAGGGTGCTTGGCTGGGACTTAACCACTGCGCTGTTTAGTCGTGATTTTTATCATCAGACCACTTGCCTGCGTCTCTCTCTCTCTCTGCCATCACTTGTGTCATAAGGCATGCTGGTGACTTTCACTTTGGACTTGGGGGACGTGGAATCAGCTGTGTGCAAGCACTTGTGCATTCTTCTGGGGCATGCAGCTCACAATATCACTCTGCTGTGCGCTTCTGGACATGGACGTGACACGGGGTTATCCGTGTTGCTATTGTGGGCTGTGTAGGCCTTGGGCAGTATCTGTGGGGCGCAAGTGACTTTCAGAAAGGCTTTTAGGTCAGGTGAATAGATAGCTATTTTTATGCATGGGGGCATCAACGGCCCATGACATTTATGGAGGGACTCTGGATGCACAGTTTTGTGGGGCGACAGCAGCCAGGTGTGGCTAGCTGTACCTCCAGCTGTGTGTGTGTGTGTGTGTGTGTGTGTGTGTGTGTGTGTGTGTTTGTAAGCATGAGGACATATGCAGGGAAGAGACAGCTTTTGAAAGATGGGTGGATGTCACCAGGCCGGACAGGCAGAGGGACCTCCAGGTGGGGGGCAGCTGGGGCAAAGGCAGAGAAGTCAGGGTGGGTCTGAGGTGTCGGGAAGTGCCGACAAAGGTTCATGAACGTGAGAAGTACAGCAAAGGTTCATGAACGTGAGAAGTAGGGGCACCCCTGGCGTGGTGGGGAGGGAAGGCAGAGGGAGATGCAGATCCCACCCGTCTGGACAAGAAGACGGAACATTTTCTGATCGTGTTTGAGCAAAGGGGGTATAGGTGGGCTCTGACTTCAGGTAACTCCTCAGGAAGCCAGGGGGATGGGCTGGAATGAGGAAGAAGAGGGGCAGCGCTCCTTAGGGAGGACAGGTAAATGACGGAGAGCGCGCAGGGCAGAGGCCAACCCCCTGCACAGGAGAGCAGGGCTCTCCTCCCATAAGGGAAAACCATGGGGGTGAGGCAGGGGTGGAGAGAGCTCCCAGGGCCCCGGGCAGAGCCTTCTGGGGCCAGAAGAGCAGCCCCAGCCCCGGCCTCGGCAGCGGAGGCCTGGGGCAGATGCACCAGTCACTTCCAAAACAGTTGGATGGGTCTGGACAGCTGGTGGCAGGCCTGTTTACAGCTCAGCCTCCTCTGGGAGCTGGCGGTGACCCCCACCTGGCGCTGCTCTCTTTTGCATCATCCATTCTTGCACAAAAAGGTCAGGCCCTGAGTGCCCCGGATCCCCCCCACCCCCACCCCCGCCCCGTGACCTTACAATGAAAAGCATCACAATCAATATCCATGAGCATTCATCAAGCACTTCCTGGGAATCAGGCACTGGCCCAGTGCTTGAGGTGATTTCTCTTATCGACGCTTCTCAAAGGCATCCTGAGTTAGAGGTGATCATTACTCCCATTTTCCAGATGTGGAAACTGAGGTTCTGAGAGGTTAAGGGCCTTGCCTAGGGCCAGACAGCTAGGAGGTGTTGGAGTTGGGGATCAAATCCTGGCCTCTTGGCCTCCAGGGTTCACATTCAAAGCCACGGCCTCCCTGGGGCCTGGTGCAACGGTAAACAGACCCGCCCCTGGCACAGTCAAGGCATCATAAGGTCCCTGTATATTGTGGACAGGCTAGATCCAAGAGAGTTTTCCCGAAGGAGACACAAAAATATCTCTGGACCCGCCCAACCTCCTGAGCTGCAGAGGGTCAGACTGCCCAGAGGGGGTGGCCGGGCACCGGACTGCTTTGTATTTTTACTTTTTATCCTTAGCACCTTCTTTCTGACTAATTAATGCCCAGGAATATAAATGAAGTCATTAAAAGCTTTGCAGCTGAGGGAAAGGTTTTGGGGAAGTGGGGGTGATGTAAAAGTTAATGGACTCCTAGCTTGCCTGATTTTTTAAAGAAAGGAACACAAAAGGGAGGGGTGGAAAAAGACAAGAAAATCAGGCCAACAGAGAGAAGAAGAAAAAGATTTAAATAAAGGCGGTGGGGGTGGGGAGCAGAAAGACAGAAAGGAGAAAGGCTTTGGTCAGACCCTGATTGGAAGATTTCCAGCCAACCCTGCGGTTGGGTCTGGGTGAGGAGGGAGCCTGGGTGGGCCCTCCTGCCCCGCTGAGCCTTCCCAGTGTGCAGACTGGGGTTTCCAGAGCCCCCCAGCCATCCAGGGGCCAAGGTGAGGGCTCATGTTCTCCTGGGGCCCAGAACAAGCTGGGCAAGGCAGCACTTGGGCTGCAGAAGGGGCAGCAGCGGTGGACATTGGGGTCTCAGAGCTGGACCAGAAGCCCTGCTCCCCCCCCCCCCAGGGCTGCTGGCTCAGATGGCAAAGCCTGACATTTGCCGAGTCCTGGGCAGAAACTGGGCTGGGGCCTGAAATCAGCACCCAGACCTGTATGCGTTGAGCCCCCCTGATGAGTCTGGCTGTAGTAGAAGGACAGAGAGAGGGGCCAGGAGGGGTGTGAAGGGGGCTGGTGTGCTGGGGCCAGCCCCCTGCAGGTCAGCAGGTGAGGGAAGAGCCCTCCGTTTGGGAAACTGAGGCAAAGGTGACCGAAAGGCCCAGAGATTCAAGCTTGGGGCCCAAAGGAATAAAATGGAAGCTTGACACTCATTGATCCTTCTCCAGGCTGGTGCTCACGGCACTGCCTCAGCTTGTGGACCTGCGAGCCTGTGTGGAATTAACACTTTTCCTTGGAAAACAGATGGTTTTCCACCCACAAACAAACAAAAAAAGATTTTTTTTCCATTGTTTTTCCTACTTCCCTCACTCCTCACCCTCTTCCCTTTTGCTTTGGGTGGCTTCCTCAAGATACATCATTAAATAAATAAACCACCAATATTTGCTGTCAGAGACCCACGCAGATTCAGGTCAGCAAGGGGTGGGATGGCAAGGCGAGAACAGAGCTTGAACAGGTTCAAATCCCTTGTCACCACCTCCTGCCTGGGTGACCGTGGGCCAGTCCCGACCCCCTATCTGAGCCTCAGCTTCCCCTCCATGCAATGGGGGGAGAGCCTGTATTGTGCGGGTGGGGTTTGGGCGGAGAGGCCTGCTGCCCTGAGCGGTCCCCCTTGGTCACTTCCAGCAATCCTGGCCCAACGTTGGAAGCCGGAAAGTCCTGGGCTGAGGGGAGCCAGGAGCTTGCAAACTGCATCAAAGCGTCTGGGATTAGCAGAGCTGGGAGGGACTTCTTAGAATCTTTAAGAGTCTGGACAAAAGGCTCAGACTCCCAGCAGCTGTGAGGCGCTGGAGCCAGCAGCCAGAGGCTTGTCAACACGGCCCCACCGCAGAAACCTACACTGGGGCTTTGACCTGAGCCCCTCTTGGGGCCCCGGAGCAAAGTGGCCTGGAATCCACTCCCCATCTCCTCAGGGCTGCGGAAACTTCCAGAGTAAGTGACCCCTGGCTGCTGCCCTGAATATTCAGTGTCAGAGGCTCTGGGGGGCGGGGGGGGGGGGGGGAGAGGGGTGGGCAGGCCAGTTCTCAACCCACTGTGCCAGTTGCAACCCAGGCCTCAGTCTTCCCATCTGCACTATGGGAAGAGTCCTACCCCACCCCCACCAGGTACCAAGAAGGTCAGATGGTGCAGTGGACCCACAAGCACCAGCTATTTTTAGGATTTAGGTTTGAAAGGTACACAGGAAAGGGAGAGAACATGTTTTTTTATTTTTATTTTTATTTTTTTAATTTTTATTTATTTCTAGGCGAGAGAGAGAGAGACAGCGTGAGCAGGGGAGGGTCAAAGAGAGAGGGAGACACAGACTCTGAAATAGGCCCCAGGCTCTGAGCTGGCAGTCAGCACAGAGGCCGACGCGGGGCTCGAACCCACGAACCGCGAGATCATGACCTAAGCGAAAGTCGGATGCTTAACCGACTAAGCCACCCAGGCGCCCCAGGGAGAGAACATGTTAATGATTATGGCCACGAGCCCTCAAGCTGGAAGTGTCTCTGGATTTTCTAGAACACCTTCCCAGCCTGAGGGAACGGCAGATCGGAGACAAACGTTTTGACAGAAACTTACTGGGCATTGCATGGAGTGGGGTCAAGGACGCTGGGGGCCAAGTCCCCACTTCCTCCCGCGGGCCCAGGCTGTCAGGATCGCCCTGGGCCGAGGCTCATACGATCTTTGCCAAGAACCTGAAACTTTTGCAAGTGGCAGATGGGTATAGAGTATGTCCTATATATATTGTATACGCTTGTAAGATACGTGCGTGCGTATCCCCATATACACATACACACATAGACCTTCTGATTTCATACACACAGTCTTCAGTGCGGCCTTTCCTCAAACCCCACAGAAGAGCCGGGTGCTGCTGGTAGTTACGGGGGAGAGGGCCATGGATAAGTCAGAAGCCCTAGGCTTTAGTCTCTTCCTTGTCGGTTCCTCCCTGATGCGCCTCTCTTTCCTCATCTGTAGAATGGGAACAAGCATACTCTTATCACAGATTTATCACGTGGCTCAAACTCACAGCGCGTGCGAGACCATAAATTAGCTGCAGGGGAAGGCATTACGGTGTGGGTTCACAAACACACGTTGTGCTCTGCGGCGACAGAGGGGTCTGAACGACAGTGAGCTGAACCGAAGGGTGCACACGCCCCTCCCATACCTGAGAGCCCCAGGTGGACCCTAACTGAGGAATGCTTATGTGGCACATGGCAGGTATCACCTATAGGCTGATGACATACGTAAAGGCAAACCCGAGATTGACAGAGCGGAACCGGTTATACCTCCTTCCCGAAGCGCCCAGGACAGCAGGTGGCGTGAGCAGGAAGGGAGGAAGGGTCAGGAGGGACCCTCCTCTGCAAAGCGGAGGATTTGCAATGAGGGGACAGAATCCAGCCTGGGTGCCGACCCCATTACTGGCTCGGCTGCCCAGCCAGCGGCCGCAGCCACGGCTCTACCTCCCGACCACAGAGTGTCAAGAGAAGCCTGGCTCACTGTCGCTCTCTCTCTTTTTAAAT